ATACATACATATTTTCATATTGAACCAAGTCTTAAAAATTTAGTGTGTCTTTTACACTTAGAGGACATCTTAGTTTGGGCTAGCCGTATTTCCAGTGCTCAAGAGCCATAACTGGCTGCTGGCTGTTGTATTCTAGCTCCAGCTCACATTCTTAAACTTTATGCCATTTAGGCAAGGCTTCTGTGAAAAACACAATTTCAACTTAAATTTTCTTAATGAAGTCTTCTTAAAAAAATACTGAATATATCAAGTTACTATGACTCTTCTGGTGCTTTAGTTTTTATATAGATAGTCAGCACAGGAAAGCTGTTCATTGTAAGCTGATGTCTGTGGTCCTCCACTGTGGGGTTTCCTGAGTTTTTTGTTTTTTGTTTTTTTTTTAATTCAAAGTTTATTTCATTATTCCTCTTTGACAGTTATTTAGATTTTTCCAGTTTTTGTAATTATACACTACAATGAATATCCTTTTTGTATGTGTGCATATAATTATCTGTGAAGGATTTTTTTAAAATGGAATTCCTGGTTCAAGGGAATATATACATTTAATATTTGGTAGATAGTGTTAAATTTCCCTCAAAAAAAGCTCTACCAATTTAAATAAGTACTGACAGTATTTTGCCATTTTAATTTGCATTTCCTCGTGGATGTGGTGGAGCATGTTTTCATGTGTTTCTTCGTTTTTATTTTTTCTTTTGTGAATTGTTGTTCATATTCTTCCCTAATTTTTCATTGGGTTGTTGATTGTTTTATTAATGACTTATGGGAGCCCTTTATACATCCTATGAGAAAGAACAGTGCAGCCTTGCCCTGACGGGTGAGACAGGAGTTAGCCGGCGCCTAGCACCTAGGTCCAGGTGTTTCCTACCTAACACAAACTCAGAGAACTTCAGCATCACACAGGGACATTCTGTGACTGTGATGGAGCAAGATAAAAATATGACCACTCCGTAATCATGTCTGAGCACAAATAAAAACAAGAACACTGTGTAAATCACACAAATAACCAAACATCTCCCTCTCCCAGCTCACATGAGAGCCTTCTGCTGCTTAACCAGTTAGAGCCTTAGCTCCATGCCTGATTCATTTTTATTAGGTGATTTGCACTGGGAAGGTTTTTCTGTCTCACAGAATTCTACTGAAAATTTTCTAGACTGTCGTCATTCTTTGCCTTAGTACTTAGATACCAGTGTGTATGTAATTGTATCCTGCTTTGACTGTTAAGAACCATAGGGAAGATTAACTCACTGCACTTCTTTCTCCAGGTCTATGGATGTAGAATGTGTAGGAAATTGGCTTGAAATGTTAGTACTGGGATTTTTATTTTTATTTTTTTTTGTACCTAGGAATTTTACCAAAAGCCTGTTTTTCATAAAGTCTCAGATATGAGCTTGCCTCCTTCCGATAAAAAGATTTCATCCATAAAAGGAATTTTTAAAAGATAATCATCAATTTAAAAAATACTCTGTTATTGAATTGACCTCTTACTCTATTAGCAACAAGAAATTGTTACATGTAAAACTGAATGAAGGTAGAGTGTCATGATCTTAGTTTTGGGTGCCATAAGGTAAAGATACATTTGCCGCCCTTCTACTTGAATATGTTGTTCTCATTTCCACTACTTCCTGCTAAGAGGCTTTTCAAGCAGTATTTTTATCATATCTTAAAATTTATTTCCAAGAAGATACTAATTACCCTGCTTACTTCATACCCTTAGAAATATTAACTGCACTATCAGGAACATTAGAAAAATATTTTCAAGCAAAAGCACATTTGCTTTTGATCCAAAAAAATTCTCATCTGGTAGCCCATTAAATATAATATGTAATGAGAAATCATTAGTTTACATTTTAGGAGCTGTCATTCAGCCATATGGCTTTTAAATGAATACGTTTTCTGCATATTGGATTACATTACTGGACCATGTTTCCAATGGTATAAAAGATCCTAAGCCCAGTAAAATATTCCAATGTTTTTATCCAGTGATATTCTTGGAAACATTTTATGTAAACAACTGACAGACACTTAAAAATATTTTTCTTTACTTAAAAGTAACAACAAAAGTTTACATTAAACAGAATTATTCACGGTATTGGTTTAAAATATTTATTTCTGTATCTGTATTCTCTTACCTTCCAAAAGAATTAAATGCTTGTAGATATTTAATAAATATTTGTTATATGAATGAGTAAATTAAATTTTCGGTAAAAACATATATACTGAATTACTTCACAGTATAAAAGGCAAAAACAAAGGAAAATTATCTGTAAATATTGTCTTGAGGTTCCTAGAAACCAAGGCAAAACACATGAACATTGTTTGGGGATCATAAAGGACATTGAATAACCTCATATAACTGCAAATGGTTTTCATTTTTCCTCATTAGGAAATGATGTATGTCTGGAATGGTTTTTCAATAGTGAGCAAAAGAAAAGACCTTTCTGAAAATCTGTTGGTAACTGTTGAAAAAGCTGAGGCAGCTTTACAAAGTCAAAGTAAGTATACACAGTAAGCACCGAGGAGCCTTTGTCTCTGCTCAGACAGACTCCTGTCCTGTGTTTTCCCTGTGCACATCTGCCTACATTAATTTGTATACATCACAAGGACAAAGAGCTTGAGTTGCAGGGGTCTGGGTGAGGAATGACACACACTGCAACTGCATGAACCTTGGAAACATCTTGCTAAGGGAAAAAGGCCAGCTGTAGAAGACCACACATTATATGATTCCCTTTACACGATAGTCAGAATAGACAAATCTATAAAGACAGGCCGCAGATGAGTGGTTGCCTAGGGATGGAGGATGGAAGGATGGAGGATGGAAGGGGTTATGATAGCTTTTTGGGGAGGGAGTTGATGACAGTGTTCTACAGTCGACTGTGGTGATGGCTGTACAACTCTTGTAAATATGCTAAAAACCGTTGAGTGGTATACTCTTAATAGGTGAATTGTATGGTATGTGAACTATATCTTAAAACTGTGACAAAAAAGATGAAGGGAGGAAGCCCAGCATTGGAATTTTAGAGCAGCACAAGGAAACATGCACTTCTCTCTGGGTTGAGTTTGCTGCGACTCTTTCTATTCCTCCTCATTGCTGTCTAACCGTTAGTGTGTTTCTGCAGACACAGGGAATAGTTTTCAAGGTGAAATGTTATCACAATTTATTCTACCTATTACATTTGGTTGTGCTAGAGGCCACACTTCAGTTTACTGGAAGCAGCTGATGTGGTAAAAGGAGAATCAGAATCAGGCAGTCTGGGCTTATAGTCCAGCTCTGCAGCCATCGGACTTTGGGTAACACCTCTGTTTTCTTGTGAAGTGGGAGGAGTGTTGGACCAGATGCTATCCAAAGTTGTTTCCTTGCCCTGACATTTTTTGATTCTGTATTTTTAAGAGGGGTAAACAATGCCATAAGTGATAGCCTGTGTTATATTTCTTTTCAATGCCAAGTCACTTAGGTATTATCCCAAGAGAAATGGTCTTTTGTAATATTCTAACCACATAAGTAAAATGAGAACTTCTGTGATGATAAACATGATAAAGGGCATAGAAATTCAGGAATGGTGGGGAAAAATTTTAACAGTTACCTCATTTTTCTTAACTGGAAAAAGATGGGCACTCCAGGAGCCCAGCTCCTGTCTATTTGAGCAAGCTCTTCACCGCCCCCAACCCCCCATTTGTTGGGGGCAAAATTCGAGGAGAAATATATTTTATCAGACTATGCCAGTAAAATGCAGTGGAAATGTAGAAAACCGAGTCACTCCCCTCCACCCATTCCTTTTTCTCTTAATGACATGCTGAGATGATAGGCTTTAGAGATATTTAAGCAGGGCAGGAGGGAGCTGAGACAGACAGACAGACATGCCATACTTACCCACAGTTTTGGCTTTGTGTGTCTCTCTCTGGGTGAAATAATTAGTTCGTTTTCTGAAGATCACCTTTGCCAGATATTGCATGTGAAACTTATGACCTCTTCTAGGAGTCGTTTTATGCAAGAAGATTATCTTCTGCTCTCCTTGCCACCTTGAACTGTAAGGACAGTTTAGTAATTAAGCTCCTATCCTTCAGAGCAGGAAAGAAAAAGTCCATAATTGGAAAATGGAGAGAAGTTGGAAAATGGAGAGAAGTTGTAAACCCGAGGTTACATCATCTTCCACCCCATCCCCCACCCCCATTATTAGAAACTGGCTGTGTATTGGCTTCTCCTAGCTTTGCAAGTGTGTGTGAAGTAAAAGATGGTAGAGGATACAACTGATCTTCTACTCTGCAATGCTCTGGCCGTAGTTATTAAATGCTGGCTGCTGATCCAAAAGATAGAACTTTGAAGACAGAACAGAATTTGGTGACGTCCCTGGAGTCGGCATTTGGTATTAATTCCAATAGTATTTCATTTGAAATCTTAACTACATTCAGCATGTAACCAGAAGTTCCACTTTGACTAATTTGCTTAATGAAATTATATAGCAAACATTATGAGAGTTATGTAAAAGGGAAAGTGATACTGACTTTATGATTTTTTACTTTCTAAATCTTTTTTCAGATTTTTCTCTTGGGGGCATTTCAGCTAGCTTCTAAAAATTTCAGCATAGATACTTTTTGTAGTTTGGGGTTCAAACTTCCCTATTTCTCAGCCTATCTACCATAAAAGTTCAGCAGATCTTTTGTGATAAAATTGTGCTCTAGTAGCTTTATCATGTAATTTTCTTTGAATGTTAAATGGAAACATATTACATGTGTGTTATGTGTTGAAATGTTCATCTATGAACACATTCATGAGGTTGAAAATCATGACAAAGCATTTATACTTCAAGGGAAAATAATCATCTGCTAGATAATGGTTTGTAGTTGGAGGAAATAATGATTTTGCCATCTGAGATTTTTGGAGGAATACGGTATTTTTGAACCCACCTGCCATATGCCTAACTCAAGTTCATCATAGAAGTTACATGCGGCTTTTTAACTTCCCATGATGTTATGTCTGTTCCTCAACAAAATCATCATTCACAGAGCACCAGAATGTTGTCATAACACAAACTGTCGATACAATGCTACAGGAAACTCAGTAGAATGCACAAAAATGGTACTACAAGCTAGCATCCAATATGGACCCTTTGGTTTTGGTTCTAGGTCCTAAAAGATATTACTTCTTGAATGTCTATTTTAACATCCATGATTAAAAGCAATGGATAGAATTTTAGTTTGGTAGAAAAATGATTCTAATTAATAATAGAAAAGGTAATGTGTTATGGATACCTGTATTTTCTGGGTGAATGACCTATCAGAGCTTGAAAGTTAGAGGTGAATATTCAGTTTTCAGCACCTAGAAGTAACCCCCTCTGGTTGGTTAAGTAGCATCATTAATCTCCATAGACAAGTGGTTTACCATCTAAACTGCCAGCATGTGTTAATGATGATTTCTGAGGTTGGTGCTGAAAGCAGGAGGATTTCAATAGGAGCGACTCCCAAGGCCTCGTGTGTTCCCTTTACTGCCGTCCTCTCTACTGTCACAGCCTGAAATGTGTAAATTGTCAGTCTGTCTTGGAATAATGTTGTACTTGCCTGTAACTTGCAAGAAAATTTCAAAAGTGTAAATGTGGAATGGCTACCTTTGTCAGATAGATGTCACACATAATATGGTTCCTTCTGTTTAACAGACATTTGCCTTAGGCTGTAGAATGCAGAGAGCATTTTCAAAAGGGAAAAAGTGGTGAAAAAATCCTTGACATTTTCCTCAAGCAGTTAGAAGTTTGTGGAGATTTTAGGTGTCTTTCATGTACTTCAGAACCATTTTGTTTAATCTTATGGCATAATTTCCCCCAAAAAGAACACAACCTGGGAGAATTGATAAGTAGTAAACATAATGATCTGGAGAGGGTATTTTACTTCCTGAATTTTTAGTGGGGATAAGGCCATCTGCTTCTCCATATGGAAGTGTTATCCACTGCTGTATTGAAGCCAACACAGAAGCCAAACAACAGGAGGAGGCAGCCTTCTTGTTCCTCATGGCTTTACCTTTGATAGGATTAATAAAACTCTTACTTTATTTAGAGTTCAGATTTCTGGTTGTGGTATCTAAGGTCACAAAGCTCAGAGTGTGACCACCTGAAGAATATTTTAAAGTGGATAGAGTGAACTCCTTAATAAAGTGGTATTCTTTTATAGTAAATTCAGCATTGTAGGAATGTATGTATGTATCAGATGGGGTCTTGCTCTTTCACCCAGACTGCAGTGCAGTGATGCCATCATAGCTCACTGCAGCCTCGAACTGCTGGGCTCAAGTGATCTTCCTGCCTCAGTCTCTGAGTAGCTGGGACTACAGGCACATGCCATCATGCCCAGTAATTAAAAAAACTTTTTTTGTACAGATGGGGTCTCACTGTATTGCCCAGGCTGATCCTGAACTCCTGGGCTCAAGTGAGCCTCCCACCTTGACCTCCCAAAGCATTGGGACTACAGATGGGAACCACTGTGCGCAGCTCTTTTCATTTAAAATAATTTCATTGTATTTTATTTAGTGAGGCATAACAAATGCTAAAAAATATTTTCCTTATTTTTAAATGATCCTTCTGAAACTTTATTCTTTCTCTTAAGATCTTAAAAAGTATTTTTATTTGTGTGTTTCGTTTGTATGTTTTTTGTTTTAAGATTTTAACAGCTTCTCTGTGGATGACGAGTGCTTAGTGAAATTACTTAAAGGATGTTGCCTCAAGAACTTACAGCGGCCCTTGCAAGCTGAACTATGTTACAATCATGTTGTGGAAAGGTAAGACCAAACAATAAAACCAACCCAAGTGCAAATTGTGGTTTCTGGGGAATTGCTGTGAGAAAGTGATACAAAATGCTTTTATCTCTTACTGCTAAACTCTTACTTGGTGTTACCAGAAAGAAAATCCAGTAGTGTTTTGTTGTTGCTTTTGTTCCTCGTGAACAAAATTATGGTCTAGGTGGAACATGGCTTTATGTATTTCTACTTGGTGTTTAAAGATGACTCACAAAAACTGTATTTATAGCTCAACTAACAGGTGTCTAGCCAAGCTCTGGCAGCATCATACTGAACCTCTGCTACTCATTAATTTTTTTATTTTTTACATACTTCTTTAGTTTTTTTTTTTCCTTTTCTTTTCCTTTTTTTTTCTTTTTTTTTAAAAAAGAGATGGGGGACTTTCCTTGCTGCCCAGACTGGAGTACAAGTAGTACAATCATGGCTCACTGCAGCCTGGAACTCCTGGGCTTAAGAGATACTCCCAGCTTAGCCTCTCGAGTAGCTGGGACTGCAAGTGTGTGCTACTATGCCTGGCTTCCGATACTAATTTAATTCATGCATTTGTTTGCCCATTCATTTATTCCACGGATATTTGAGCACCCACTGTGTGCCAGAGACTGTGCTGGATTCTAGGGATTCAGAGCTGAGTAAACAGACTTGCCATCACTGTGATAATAATGTGGCAGGAAAGAGAGGCATGTGATGAGCACTCTGTCTCTCTTTTGGCAAGGGGCAGTTCTTCTGTATATAATTGAGTTTTGTTCTGGTTTTATTCCACCCCAGTAGCATTGATGATGATGTCCTGCTCCATTACTAACCATAGAGTTGAATCAAGGTTCTGATCCCTGGCCCTTTTCTCTGTATCACAAAGGCAGTATCTACAGGGGCCAGACACGTAACCTGACTTTATCAGGCCAGCCGAGTGGCAGCAGGAATAGGATTGGTAGGCTCTGTAGGTTAGGGTGTTTTCTCTGAAGGGTGTAGCCACACTCCTCAGCTCTATTTGATTATTGCTCTGCACAGTGTGGGCCCAATAGCAATAATCCCTACCATTTTTCATGAAAAGCCTGAAATCTGGATTTTATGTAAAATCACCTGATTTTAAAATATTGCCTCAAATTTTTTGAAAATATTCTGCAAGCCAGAACAACCTCAGCCATAGACTGCTGGTGGACATCCTGTGCTCTGTGTCACGTGCCTTTCCGTCCATGGCCACCTGATCCCCTTCTTCCTGACAGTATTGATGGGAATATAGGAGGACTGGTGCCCCTATAAGAATAAAGACAAAATACTTCCCAAATGTACCGTCTTTAGTAATATTCTGTAATTAGTAAACATGTTAAAGAAGTATCCATGGAATTCTATTTTATTAGTGTTTCTATAAGGATTAAAAGGATGATCAAAAGGATGACCTATTGTGCTGTTTTTTTGTCTGTGAATCTCATAGTGAATTGTTTGCTTATGTGCTTTATAATTTTGGATTGTGAACTCACCTTCATTGGAGTTTTATCTTGAGATTACTATGATGCTATATTGAGGAAGAGTTGCTCTACAGTGATTTTGCATTTTATTTCTCTCAGGTACCCTAAAGGTTTTTTCTGCCCAGGGCCTCTTTCATGTTAATTTCATTGCTTACTTCTTGGATCATTTAGACAATATAAATTTGAATTGCACATTCAATGTGGGCATGCCTATTGGTTATTAATTTCCTAAAGAATTGTTTTTTCTTCTCATCGAAAGTGCTGGCCAAGGAGACAACTGTCTTTGTCTTTCTCGTTTGCCAGTGAGTGGGTTTGTTCTAACCTGCCTTTCTCTTAAGGAGTAGTCCTGTAAGGATCCTAGCTTTAAACAGAGGTCTCAGTTTCAGCACCCTGCTTTCTGAGGGCCTAAGGCCTCATCTCCTGCATGGACATTAGGATACAAAGCCCTTGACTCAGATGGAGGCACACCACAGGGCTTATTCAGCATCATTCCACATATGTAGAGTCTCACTTTTTCCATTCTAGCTGTTTTCGACACTTGAGGGTTTTTTCTTATGTTCTGGTGAGCTAAGCTATGCATTTGAAATGGTGTTAGTCATATTTTTTTTTCAGTGCTTCTAGATGTTTTATGAACAGAGAGTTCTCATAATGGTGTTGAAAACAGAAGTGTTGACCATTTCTTTATTGGCCTTTTAAAGCATTATAAGGCTTTAAAATACAAAGGGAGTTGAACCTTAGTTTAAAAATAATACAACTTTCTTATTTCTAAATGGAGTCATTTTCTGAACACATGCATATTCAGAAAGATGATCTTGCCATATCTAGAGTTAATCTTTAAAGATCTGTATGCACTGATTTACCTAAGAGACAGCAATCAACCATCAGTGCTGGGTTTACATTAAGGAATAAAAGATTAATATATGAAAAGAACATTATTTATTGCCATAGTTTAATGAATTCTATAACTATACAATGGCGGCTTTTCTATGATAATAGACTTAGTGCTGCACATATTTTCTGAGGAATGGGAATAATATATATTTAGAAAAATATGTATTTCTTGTTCTGTTAAGATTTACTTGCTTTTCTTCTGCTCTTTCAGTGAAAAGCTACTGAAGTATGACCACTACCTAGTGCCGTTCACTTTGTTTGAATTGGCATCTTTGTATAAAAGCCAGGGGGAAATCGACAAGGCCATAAAGTTCCTGGAAACTGCAAGGTAAGTGTTGAAGGCAGCTTTTCCTTGATCGTTGTGGAGTCAGAGATATCAATATTGCTATAACAACAGCAGTAACATTATATACTTAAAATTTAATAATGTCAAATTAGTAATAATGCTACTTTTGCTAACATTTATGCTTATGGCTTTTGCTGTAATTGTGCTGTTTCCAACCCCCTTACTGCCTCACCCTGTGACTATTTACAGATATGATTATGGGCATCTATTTGAAAGATTTCTAACTTCTTTTATTCTGTATCAGGGGTTGGCCAGCTTTTTGTGTAAATGGCTGGAGAGTAAATATTTTTAGATTTATAGCATAAAGTCTCCATTGCAACTACTCCATTATATCAAAAGAAGTCATAGAAGGTAATATGTAAATAAATGGGTGTGTTTCGATTTGGCCCTTGGGTCCTTGTTTGCCAGCCTTCAGTGTATTCAGCCATACCTGTTATTTCCTTGAAGAGCCATTGATCTTGTGAAGCTTGCACATCTTACCCAGACTCTCTCTTTTTTCTGTTTATCATGGCAGTTTCAAAGTATTTTTATCATTCTGGTAGGCAATAGCTTTTAGACCTGTGGTCATGGATCACATAGGTAAGGCAAAAACCCTGTGGCCTGTTTGCCTTGAACACTTCCTGCAGTAGAGAAAGAATGCCAGACTAGCTCTAGGTCATAAACAGTGATTTGTCCATTTATTCAAATTCAGCAATTACTCACTGAGCACCTATTATGTGTCAGACACTAGTAAAGGCTTTAGAGAGACAACTATAAACCAAGCAGGCATTGTTTCTGCTCTGTTAGCTAGAGGGAGATATTAAATAGACAAGAAAAATATCAGGGCCCAGTGCGGTGGCTCACGCCTTTAATCCCAGCACTTTGAGAGGCCGAGGTGGGCAGATCACGAGGTCAGGAGATCGAGACCATCCTGGCTAACATGGTGAAACCCTGTCTCTACTAAAAATACAAAAAATTAGCCAGGCGTAGTGTCAGGTGCCTGTTGTCCCAGCTACTCAGGAGGCAGAGGCAGGAGAATGGCGTGAACCCGGGAGGCGGAGCTTGCAGTGAGTCAAGGTCACGCCACTGCACTCCAGCCTGGGCGACACAGCGAGACTCCACCTCAAAAAGAAAAAGAAATCAGTGGTATATGTTTGCTGAGATTTGTAATATGATACATGGTGCTTGGGTGTTACTTCAGGATAGATTGATTCTGAAATATTTCCTTGAGGAAATGATATTGTAGCTGAGAGTTGCATAATTAAAGTCAGTCTTGATATCAGTCATTAGAAGTCAACCAGGTAGGTAGGGAGCACTCCTGACAGAAGTCACAGTTAATGAACATCACGTTGAGGAGGTTGAGCCACTGGGTCAGTGATGATGCTTTTTGCTGTGCTGGGGAATACTTAGAAGAGTATATTTGGGGAGAGAACAAAACATGCTTCTGTTCAGACCATGATTCTTTAAGATGGCTATTAGGTACTCATATTAGGTAGATGGCAAGTTGGCATTCATACTTAGCATGGAGTTCAGTGGTAAGGTCAGGGCTGAATGTAGAGATTTCAGTCAACAGCACAGAGATAGCGGTATTTAAAGTGATAGCACATGATGAAGTCATTTTGTGAATGTTATATAGCTAGAGAAAGAGGTCTAGCACAATGTCTGGGATATGCCATCTTCTTAGACATTAAACGATAAGATTAAGAAGATTAAGAGAGTTAGGAAGACATCTAGGAAAACCAACCAAATAGTGTTTCAAAAAGAGCATGGTCAGTTATGAGGGCAGCAACTAAGAGCTCAAACAAGGTAAGACCAGAGAAGTGGCTGCTGAATTTGGCAGCATGAGGATCGTTGGTGACTTTGACGAGTGAGGTGACAAACAAAATGGAGTCAGCTACTTTAGGCAACTCTGTTATGATGTTTGCTGTGAATAGAACATCGTAATGGGGCAAAAGCTTTAGGGGCATAGTAGAGCCAAGAAGGGCTTCCTTAAAATATGTAAATATAGGTGATATGAGAGCAAGTTGCTTTTAAAGTTAATTTGTTGGGCGTATGACCAATATTTCAGGTGTTAGATATAGATATCTTCAAATCCAGCTATTGGAAAATTATGGATTATAAATCCTGCTCTTCCAAATATTCATTATTTGAATATACAATGTACAGTAAGGCAGCTTCATAATGATAAAAATAAAAGACTAGTAACTCACTGCTATTTTATTTTATTTTATTTTTGAGATGGAGTCTCGCTCTGTCGCCCAGGCTGGAGTGCAGTGGCCGGATCTCAGCTCACTGCAAGCTCCGCCTCCCAGGTTCACG